TGTTAGTTTGGCTTAATTCGGCAAGCTATAGTTTCCTAAAAGAGCCTAAAAACATAAAACAAAAGTCTTATATCTAGTTCGGCTTTCAGTTTTCGATATTCAAAGTAAACCATCCGAGTATATATGAAATAATATGAAAAACGGCAAAGCCAATTAATACATTTGGACTTAGTCTTAGGAATAGTTTGATATTCTGTGATTTGCACTCGTCCAAAAATTGGAACAGAAACTGAAACGTGTAGGACATGTGTGGCTTCCCCTTTCCGATCACGCACCGATCCGATTATTTGGTCATCGACGGAAGGTTCTCTGGTCGGAGTCGGATTGGAGTCGGATCGGATAGATGTGTCCCGGCCTTAACTTGAGGTGGGGACCGCGCGCTGAACATGGCATCTCACGGAAATGTGAAATTTCGAAACGTTCCAATTTAGGTTGCACGTACCACGTGCAAATACGTGTAGGGCTTTCATGATAATTTTATGAATGAAATTTTATGTTGTAGCATATGAATCTAACCAGCGGATGTTAGTGTAACGGAAGTTCCGTTCTCTTCAAATAATTATGATTTCGATATAAAAGGGTAACAGAATCACATTCGAAAAATAAGGAAATTGTTTTCACCCTAATTATGGTAATACAATTACGGATGGGCTATATAGGGAGGTATTTAACGTAACCGCTCAAATAACAGTGTTTCATGCGTGAAACCTGTAACCGCAATTCCACTTTGCCAATTTAACCGGTTGTTTTTGGAACTGTCTCATAAATCCGAAAGTGCACCAGCACAGAACCGATGCGACACCGTCGAGCCATCTATTCAGTTCCAGTAACCATTTGTTAACGGAAAATATGTTTAGTCGTTGATGATTGTGTTTATCACCTTTCGTCTATAAGAATTACTGTTCAGTTCTCCAGGAAGCATGATCAGCAACGAGTTTCTTAAATATGGTTGCCATTAATTACGAGAGAGTTGTCCATTATGAAAAATTAGCTTTTCCTGTTTAAAAAAATGTAAAAAAACAAACGCGAAAAACCTCAGAAGAGTCAGTCTGCTAAACATGGCATAAAGATGAGACTATTCCAGAAGAAGCGTCACATAGCAAGGAGCAGCTTCATTCAGACAAAACAGATCCACAATACGCGCAATATTTACACAAGAGAAATTGCCAACAATGCGATAGAGTTCGCCTATAAAATCGCCTTCATGTGCTATATTGGTTAGATTTCAGAAAATCATTTAGTTAGGAGGGTTTACAACTGTACTAGATTAACAACGGGAGCATTTGAGTCTTAAACAGTGCATCTGCATCTAAAAAAAACTATAAGCACTCAAATACAGTAAAAATCACTGAAAGACCGACAAAAAGTAACTTCTATGAGGAAATCAGCCACGCTTAATAATATTAGTTTTAATAAGCCTTTTTGTTATTTCAGGAATCCTAGTTTCAAAATCTGATGCTGGAGAAGCCATAGTATCAAGTGTACCAGCAGCGAATCCGATTTACAGCGACGTCTACACTTCTGTGTTTAATAGGTCATACTTACTACCGTTTTTCTTCGTGGTTCACAATAACCAGCAAGACGCATTCTATTTTATCAAAAAGGACAGTTGGAAAATAAACGACGATAAAACGCAACTGAAAAGATTGCAAGGGCAAGTCAATACCACATTCCATGAAAATGTACGTGAGAATGGCAGCGGTAACAATTATTTCGATGTGAAGATACATGAAACGAATGTTGTTATCAATTTAAGGTAAGAACTGAACTCAGAGTAGGTATGTTAGAGATGTATGATGAGCTCTCAACGTCGTGTGCTAACATTATGTATTTCTTCGACTATGATGATTAAAAAATTATTACGGAAAATTCATATAATTGAATATACGATAAGTCAGTGACTTTTTGAATTTCCCGCGCAGTAACTTTAAATTCAACAATGAAATTTTGAGCACGCTACGTCATTTAGTTCGTGTTTAATTTAAGTCATTGAAAGGAGACGACTGCGTCCATTTCGACGAAAATGGAAAGAAGTTAATTTCGAGTGCCGATCAAGCATTATTTTTTACGAAAAAAAACATCAACGAAACGAAGGAAAAGCTTGATAAATACTATGAAGACTCTGCGCTATGCATTTCAATGGTTAAGAAGTGGTTTACTGAGTTTAGTTGTGGTCGCTCCAGCACAAATGACGCAGAACGTTCAGGTCGTCCAAAAGAGGTTGTTACGCCAGGAATGGTCGATAAAATTCATGGAACGATACTGGACGACCGGAGAATAACAGTGTGTGAGGTGGCTGAGGCTGTAGGCATCTCAACTAAGAGAGTGCATCACATTTTACATGAATATTTGGATATGAAAAAGCTATCCGCACGATGGGTGCCGCGATTGCTGACTCTCGACCATAAGCGCTCCCGTGTAACCATTTCAAATGAATATTTAGCGATGTTCCGTCGCAATCCGAACGAGTTTTTGCTACGTTTCGTAACCGTTGACCAAACGTGGATCCATCACAACACACCAGAGACCAAAGAACAATCAAACCAGTGGGTTTCTTCAGGCGAACATGCACCAAAGAAGGCCAAAATGGGTCTGTCGGCCAACAAGGTGATGTCCACAGTTTTTCACATCGATTACCTTGAAAAACGTATAACGATCACTGGCGCATAAAATTCAAAGCTTTTGAACAGATTCGATGTTGATTTGAAGCTAAAACAGCGGCATTTCGCGAAAAAAAAGGGCTGTTTCATGAAGACAATAAACGGGACATACGTGTGTAGTCGCCATGACAAAAATCCATGATTTGGCTACGAACTGCTACCCCACCCACCATATTCTCCAGTTTTAGCCACCTGCGACTATTTCCTGTTTTCAAACCTGGAGAAATGGCTGGACGGTAAGAAATTTGAGTCCAATGAAGAGGTCATCATTGAAACAAAGCAAATTTTGAGGACCTCGAGAAATTATATTATTTGGAAGGGATAAAAGAGATAAAAAAAATTGTAAAAACACTGGAATAACTGTATCGAGCGAAAAGGTGATTATGTTGAAAAATAAAACATTTTTGGCCGAAAAAAAATAATTTTATTCAAAAAGTCACTGACTTATCAAGCGACCCCCGTACTATGTAACTATATAAGTGAGATCCGCGACATTATTAAAATACATTTTGCCGTAGCTGACGCAAAGCCTTGTGAAATATTGATGCTTAAATGTGAATCCACCTTAATGCGCGATTTGGTCAATTTTGATATACTTAATGCTTTAATTACCACATTAAACCAAATTTATTGAATTTTGGTGTTCCATACTACAAAAAGTAGATTTGTTAACGACACGATTGTTAACAGAACTACTTTCTGATTAACATGTGTATCTCAACAACAAACAAATATTTGAAAAATGAGATTTATTATATGCCCGCGCTTCAAGACGATTAATTGTTTTTAACAAATTTAATTTTATCATTTTCTAGAGTCCATTAAAAACTGAAAATTTTACGCAAACAAATGACTTACTCTCATATAAGATCAAATAATTGTTAAATTGCTATCAACCCCTTACCATTTAGGTTTTAAAAGTGTGCATGTATTGGCGAGGTGCCCATTTCAATTAATAAGTCTTCTAATTAGGTATGGTACAACAATGGAAAAGGAAAAACAACGACTTTTACATCACGCCAAATTAACCGCAATACGAAAAGCCTGGCACAAAGAAAAAGAAGCGTCCAAAAATGGGTTCAATGGCAGTTTCGACTGGTCGCAGTCTGAAATCGAAGAACTGATCAAAAATGGCTACATTGCCAGCTACGAGGGACAGTACGTTCACGACGTTCAGGAATATCCTGAACTCGCCGAAGATCCGTATAACATTCGATTTGTAAAAAAACAAACCGAAGCAACGAAAAAGGGGCGACGAAAACGTGATACTCGCCCAAATCGATGTCCGAATGTTTGGTGGTTAACTTGGAGTGAATGCTAGTGCCATAGACATGAAAAACATTTTTGAGGTAGGAATAAGAATATTCAATTACTAAGTGTGATGTACCAAAAAAGAAAAAAGCTTAAATTTAGGAGAGGTAATTGGGAAAGGATTTATGAAAAAAAATTAATTGAATCTCGGTCGTGTCATATATTTTGGTCACTTTTTCAGCTTCAATTGTTTGTAACATAATTTGATTAAATTACTAAATTATACACTTGTATATAAACTGCAAAATATTACATCCAAAACATAACAATCCTATCCCAACAACCAACTTTTCTAACTTTCGCATAAGTATTTTATACCAAAAAATACCAGTCTATTTGTGTAATTTCAAAGATGCCAAAAAAATGTATATTATTTATTTACAATTTGTTACCTATGTATGTGATTTTGTTTGGCACACTCTGTCCGATCTCATAATATGAATTTTTATATAATAACTTGACTGATATAATGTTTATCGCACAAAGTGTCTCAAACTTCTGTATTATAGATTATATTAGGGACAGCTAGGCGGCTGCCACATAAAGCGATGAAGTAAAATATTTCTAAAATTTTTATCTTCATTTACACATGGAGTATCTTTGAACATGTTCAAACATTTCCTTTCTAGGAAATTCGCACTTTCCTACTTGAATTTATGTAACTAATAGATTGTTGTACGATGTACGAGTCATCGATTTGCTAACTTTGACAATACCGAGAAAATCCATAACGACTTTAAAAATATTTTACTCCATTTTATAAATAGTGCAGTGTTTATTGCTACGAGCGAGAGGCGAATCTCTTAGTAAATGGTATCAAAAGTAAAACTAAAAATTGTAAATATAGTCCAGTTATTAACTTTTTAATAATTTTAAAATTAAAAAAACGAATTTATCTTAGATAGGGAGAGAATAAAAATTATTAATCATATATAAATATATGTTGTATTGCTTTAATTTATAAATAAATGATATCATTGTGACTGATCAGTTTCCAATAATATTAGAAATGGATAGTAAATTCTGTATTTGGGCTGGCAAAGCAAAGTCGATTATTCGTATTAGATCGTTCAGTTTTTTTACTTGCTTTATTATTTAGGTGGAAATGCATCCAAAAAGAATAAAACCGGAAGCAATATTTCCACTTAAAAGTAGCTTCCGGACTTGACTGGTCTTTAAACGCAGTACAGTCAATAAACCCCACATTATTTCAGAGGAGCCTTTATTTATGTACAAGCCAGTAGAAAAATGTGCTCATGGAAAATGTTAATCGTTGCGTCGACCTGCATTTATTTTATTTAAAATTAATATTAATATAACAGTAATTGCGCTGCTGGTCCAAAAAATATAGCAAAGTCTTTTATCTGCTATGTACCTTGCAATTTTTGTAACCTCACATTTTATTTTGTTAGATACTTTTAAGAAATTTATAAGAATATATATTTTTCACTCTAAACCCTTGCCTGCCACATAGTATATTGGAAATAAGTGTGCTCCTTGTTATATTACTGGACATTTAACCCAGGATACGTGTAATTATTTACCTAAGTGTTATATGTTGTCACCAAAACGCTTTTTGGGGATAGTTGGGAGTAAATGTTATTCGAAAGCAGTGGAAAATGTTAAGGATTAGATATAAAAAATGTAATTCAATATTTTCAATATTCCATATCACTTTTTTAACGCAATTTCCATCAATGCCCGTATCAAAGTACCTAAATGAAAATACGTTTAAATTTAGAAAGCTGCCTCAGAGAATGACAACGGTAGGAATAAATATACAAAACCATTGTTTGTAGGACCAATACATCCACAGAAAATATTTTAAATTTAATTGAATATTTTCCCTTTGGCACTTAATTAAAAAATATGTATTTTACCAAATTTCTAAGTCTTTAGATGTAAATGTTGATAGTCAAAAGAAATAAATATCTCTTTTATGATAAATTAACTAGAAATGAAAGAAATATTAACTATCTCAAACAGTTTGTCTGATTATAATGGTCAAAATTGTCTGCTTTCAGAATGAAAACTACCTAATGGGAAATCAAATTGTATCCAGTTTTCGGAAATATTATTTAAAAAAAATGGTACTTATCCCAGTTTATAAGCCCAAAAAAACATTAATAATACGGAAAAACAGATGACATTGTTGAAAATACATTGGACCTCTTTCGCCTGAACCTGTATATTCCGAGTGTAATAAATTCCTAATTTTAAACTGTATTATTGTTGAAAAAAACTTCAAGCAAAGATAACTTAATCTTAACACATTTTGCGAGGTTTGTATTCACGTTTTTCTCAATTTTTTTATCAAACTAGTACGATTAATTGTTTAGGAAATGCAGCCGACTGCTCTTCTTAGTGCAAAACCCAGTACATTTATATCTAACCCGACACAATTTCCTAACACTATATATTAGTCTACGATATCAACTGTCCGAATAATGGTAACTGTTTATATTATTGACTGGTGTTGCTGTTCCTCTAACGTTTTTTATTTTAATGCCTTACATCTAATAATTTTCCTTTAATTTATAAACAATAATCAAATGTATCGATATTCCTTTATTCCTGGCCATTATAAATGTTTTCTAATAAACATTGTTTTTATACTCATTTGTTTTATTTAGTTTTAAATCGCAGGCAGTAGGCGAAAGATTGCACAGTCGATTGGCAGTATGATTCAGGTACTCAGCTGTGCGATCGAAATTAAATTTTAATTTAATTCAGTTAATTTTAATAGGCATTTAAACAGGTTGGCAACGCGGAAAGATCTATAACATACAGATAGAATGATGAAGACATGAGTTAACTGTTTGACTATGGACAAACCGTTCTTAAAAATTATCTTTATTACTTAACTAATTACAAGTTTACTTCAGTATGTCTTTACTCTGACTGACTTAACATAATGTATATCTCCAACTGGAAGACATGATGCCCCTTTATGACCTTAACATTGGCGGTATGCCTATTCTGCTGATCCAGCGGAATCTATGGGAACTAGTCACATAAGTGCTGCTGATGTAGCGGAATTCGTGGGAACTGGCCACATAACTCATGCAAAACGTGATTATTAGCTATCTTATCAAATAAAATAGTAACTGTTTTGTTGCTACATTCCACACATCTTCACATAACATTTGCTACTAAGGGGCAGAGACACAATGCTGTGGGTCCGATGACTATATAACGCAGAATTAACCTAGACGCAAAGTTAGGATGCCCTATCGAAACTAAATTGTATCTTAAACAAAATCAAGTTTGCGTTGAGTCATCCCTAGAAATAAATTTATAATACGAAGCTGGTCTCGCAACATATATATATATATAATGGACACTAATCAAAAAAAACTAGTATGTTGTAGTGCGATCATCTTTATTAAAATATATCAAACTTTGGGATAAATTTGCAAAAGAGCATTTCATTTTATTTCGAAATAACAACTAGGAGGCAGAAAAATCAGCTGATACTGTGAATACAGGCGACCGTAAGTTTTCAAAACCATCAATTTAATTTTTCAATTAAATTATTAGTAATCAACTGTAGATTCTATACATTTTGTTAAAATTTGAAACTGATAAAAACAGTTACAGCTACAGAAACACCAGGTACTGTATATATCGGCTAACATAAGCTAAAGTAACTGCGAATAAAGGTCAACTTTGCAATTCAAATCAATCAATATTCACAGAACAGTATCGTTCATCATGTATAAAATAAAGTGATTTTATACTTATGACCTCCCGTATTATATATTATTAGATCCATGATGTTTACGATTCTGCAATCCGAATTTTAATTCAATAAATACGCCGTGTCACAAAAACGTTTTATTTAGGACATACGCATAACTATGTACATATATAGTTAAAGTGAAACTGTATAGCAAGTCTGATAACATATGCACACTTTTGATTTACATAACAAACAAAATAAATTTTGTTCTTCTTCGTTCAATTACATAACTTAACTTTAGCTTCAATAATCCAACGTTAGTCAACTTAATCTAATGTGGGAGAGCGTAGAACATCGCTTGCTGTTTTTCATTCACAGTGTCGAATGTATTCTTCATTTGCCGGGATTAGTGAATAAATTAAAATAATAATAATAATACATAGATATCACAAAATATTCACAAAACTGTATCACACTATTCTTGATTTTAAATGTAAAAAAGCAAAATTAAACTTAAATATCATTAAACATTGGGGTGTCAGGAAAGATAACCAGTATCGTCATTTTCTTTATCCGTCAAATAACGTTAATAAAAGCTACAGTTACCACTTTTTCGTCAAGATAGAACTTTATTTACTCTTAAAAAATATATACATACCACATTAATAATTCGTCAAATTTAACGTTAAGTTTGTCTCGCTTCATCCATTCGATACCCTTAAACCCTATTTAGTGCCTTTACTAATGTATGAAAAAATTTAAAACAGTGATAACTAGAATTGATTATGCATCATTGAAGTAGCCTAAAAATTGAACAAGTAGGGAATCTAAAGTCCTTATGCAAAAAAATCCAGCAACAAATGTGAGAATTTTTTTTATTTCGCTTGAAATTTCAGTAAATGCAACTATTGCACAATATTACCGCTTTTATTACTTTCATATAATTCAATTTATTTTCATGGTTTAAAGAGCATTCAATCAAATACAGAAGTGATCATTATAATAAAAAAATAATGTACGGCGACTTCAACACATTTGTCACATTTAATAAAAAATAAATGTCTAGGTAAAATAAATATCTACAGATATGTGTTGATATAGATACAAAACACTTGTGCAACGAAACGATCATGATCATATCAAACATTTTGTAGAAAATGCTAATAATTATAGGTACGGCGGAAAAAAGCGTAAAGAAACATTGATTTATTTAAATCACTTACGTTTTATCATTTTGTCGAAACTTTGTATTTGAAGAATTTTTCGTTGTCCGATAATTATAACATGAGAGGGATTTTTCGCGGCGTAAGCGGACAAATAATTTTTGGAATAGGAAAAAAAATTCCTAAAATATGTCGGGTTTCGCCGCGAAAAATCGTTTTCATGAAACTTTTTATTAACAGGAAACGCGCGTTTCGGCAGCTATGCTCCCATCTTCGGAGGAAGATTAAAAGTGTAGCTCTTCTCCGCTTCTTCCAAAGACGGGAGCACAGCTCCAAAAACGGACGTCAGGTGTAAATACAAAGGTTCGACAAAGTGGTAAAACATTAGTGATTTATCGTGAGTGTCGAAGGTTTCAACCTTATAGATTATTGATTAATTTAATGATTTCTTTCCAAGCAAAGTTATCACAAATTACATTTTTTTATTATACATTTGAGTTTTGTTGTAAACGCGGGTTATTGTACTTACTTTTACGCAAAAAGTTATAGCAAAACTAACTAAAGAAAGAATGGTTGTTGCACAATAATTATATGTTGATTTATTTTTTATCCACATTCTCTTGTGCTGTGGTATACCTCTTGTGCTGTGGTAGATTTGTTAACAAAAAATGTTTTATTAATTACAATAGTTTAATGTTAATAGTATGATAATTGTTAATAGTATAATAATTAACCATATTAATAATAGCTGAAATGATATAGAAGTCTACTTAGAAGAATAGGGATATTGCGCATGCTCATTCTATGGGAGAATTGTCGGCGATTCCATCTAACAAAGATCAACTCTACATCAAAATCGCCTTCACGTCGACGGAGGGACGCTCGACTATCCGTCAAAACTATCTCTATGGATCGACTATGCATACCGGCGTAAGTGTTCGCTATCAAAGTTTGTTTATTTGCCTTTATTCATTTCTGTATGATGATACCGGCTAGATTACAATCAATATCATGTGAGGAATTGAGAGTAAGTTTGTTCTCCGACCTTATTCAGACACTATTAAACTTGGTCGTATTTTTCTAAAAGTTTCGTAAATATATTTTCATGTTACATCGCGGCATTATTTGGAAGCATGGTTTAGTGCATAGTAGTACTGCGGAGGCTGAGACAGACCCGTTTAACTATATCATGATAACACGTCAAAAAACATATCGAGCATTGAGTGAGTTTTCTGAATCTTGTGAGCGCTTACCTTTCCTTTGTAAAGTATAACAAAGCATTTTTTTTTTATTTAAATTAAATTAAATTTAAATCTAAATGCTCACAGATACTCTATTAGTAGTCATTATTAACTTATTATTCAATACTTTTCGACTTGAAAATCTCATAAACAAAGCAAACAAAAATGCTTCCCATTTGCCATAACTTTTAACTAACCAGACTTTAGATCTGAAAAAAAATTCCAAACACCCAAACGGTACAGACACTGTAGGCGGTAGATGTGAAATAACGAGTAATAACTTTCTGGCTTTCAGAAAACATAATGAAAAAATACATAATGTGATCTGAAATAACTAGATTTTACTACATAAACAAAAATTTCCCCAATTTCATATATACCTATAAAAATAATATATTTTTATTCAAGTGACTTTGAGAGTTAAAACAGTATTTTGAAGTTGGCGATCTATTATTGTGCCAAAGCCAAACAACTATAACTAATAATTAATAGCCAATTAGATATTTCAATAAAAGCAATCAAAGTGAAACTACTAGAAATCTAAAAACGTACTATATTGATATAAGCGATCATACGAATGTATTAAAATATGCTCAAGTAAACCCCTGTGGTTTATTATAGTTACGCTAAATTAAAACAGTTACGAAATGTAAGTTGACGAAACCAAACAATGAAAACTTGAAATCAACGACCAGACACGCATAATCTATTATATTCTCGTCAACTTTCAATTGAAGTTGATTCTGGTGCAGTAAATCCACTAAGGTGTGCTCTTACATGATTTATTAAGCAAGTGTGGAGTTTGGAAGTGTTATACTTCCAAACATCGAAAATTCAAACTGATAGTGACTAAAAAAGCATTTAAGTTTTTTTGCTATGAATGTCACTTTAATGTGCAAAATAGTGAATGCGTGCACAAACTTAATCAAATTCACAGAAATATTAAAACATTACTTAAATCAAACACCCTGTATATTCAAAAAAAATGATTTGTTGCTTTCTAAATTGGGTATTATCCTTGTTTTTCTACGATTGGAATAATCGTGAAAATGTTAGTGCCAATTTCCGATATTACAAATTTCAATTAAGTATGTTGTTGCAGCCCACCAAATTAGTTACATATACAGTGACAAATATTAGTAACAGCACTAAATTTGTAGCGCAGACCCTAATTTTAAGTACTGATGTTTTAAGACATTTAAATTGAACAGTTTACTGCTTCACTGCTTTACCCTGAAATAAGTGACGAACAGTCTAACCAAGGAAACGATTTCTTATCCCACGAAGGTTAACATATTTAAACTTAATTGTGATTATTTAAGATTCACCTTGATTGTAGATACCTATTTTTGAAAACATTTCAATAGAAAACTGATCTCTTTAACATGAATGAGCTTTGTCGAAAAATATAAATCACACATGAATGTAACTAGTTAAACATGCACATGCTTGATATTGTTCTGAAATCAGTCTTCGTTCTAGTTTCTGCGTCCCGTAAATTAAAATTGAGCGATATGCACAAGAAAACCCACAAATCAACTCTAATGGTTTCCACACAGTTACTTAACATACAAAAATTCACGACTGTTTAGATTGGCTACACATGGACATGTGTTAGCGAGGAAAAAAAAATCAAAAATATCTTTGGTTAAAATTTTCCAACATCAATAAAAAACAGGTTATAGTACATTTTTCATCCACACTGTCACAATGTTAACATAACTATAATACATTCATCATAACGCATTAGCTACGCTCCCTGTTTCGACTTGTACACAAACCTCAGACTTTTCATCGTGCTCTAATTTTTGCACCTTCACAGATAGTACCTAACTAACACAACCAAATAGGGTATTTCGAAGTGCTAATAAACCCAAAAGTATAAACAGCACTGATATGCGGTGATAAACATTTGTACGTGAAAATAACTCGAAAATAGAAAAAATAAATGCAATATAAGAAACTTTAAATAGTCTTGAACCACTAGTCTTGATTCACAATTATTCGTCCTGCTGTAATGGGCAGGAATTATTCCGGTGTCATAGTAGGTTTGGAGCATATTTTCTTTTTCTGCCCACCTGCAAAACAGTGTTTAGTTGCAAAAACAAAAACTAGCGTGAAGCAAACTTCTCTTAAGATCTAAGATTTGTAAGAACGTAAAGTATTAAACTGATTAAAATTCCATAAATGTCGATTGTAGGTAGACCAAAGAGCTGTGTATAATAGTCACTAGGCCAGTCCCTTGCCTCTGACATAATAGATTATTAGATTAAACATAGTAAATAACCTAAATACTATACAAAAAAACAATTAGAACTTCTGATGACCAATTACGCAAAATAAAAGTATTGATAAGAAAATTCCCAAACAAAAGAAACAAGTTTCAAAAACGATGAAGGAAAATTCGGAAGGATACCGGATCAATATTGAGTACAACAAGAGAAATAGCAGAGCAGAAAAGGGAAAACAGATGCAAGCTTAGGGATGAAACAAAAAAAAAGACTAGTATTAAGGAAGAATTTTTTTGAGAATTTAGAATTTTAGCAAAAGAGACAAGAAGTATGGTGAGGCACGATCTAAATGAACACTATGAAAACGAAATTAAAAAACTACTAGAGAATAATAAATGCCTTAGAAGTCCCAGAAAGAACAAATGTAAAAAACAGATAACCGTCCTGAAGGATCAAACGGGGAACGAACTAAGTTCAAGCTCCAACGAAGCAAGAAAACAATAAGATTATGAATGTAGGATCAGAAGAGATCCCGGAAATAACTGAGGACCAGATTAGATATGCTCTAAATCATATGAAAAATTAATGAATACCCGTCCTCAGTTAACAAGTATCATGAAGATAAGATAAACAGCATATCTGGGACAAATGAAGCGGCACGAGAAGTACGATTAACTACAAGTGATACTGGAGGGAAAGATTGAGGGTAAACGTGGCATGGGGAGCAAGAAAAAGTCCTGGCTCAGAAACATAAGAGATTTGACAAACATAGATGATAATACCCTGATCGATCAAGCCCAACATAGAGATGGACTTGCCATAGTGGTCGCCAACCTCAACAGTGACGGCACCTGAGAGGATAGGATATGAAAAATCATAAGGCACCGGGTGAAGATGAAATTCGGATAGAAATGGTAAAAGAAGGAGCAGATGTATTGATGCCATGCTTGTGCACACTGTTCAATGAATGTATAGAACAAGGAAATATGCCCAAAAATTGGTACAACGCTATTGTAATATTATTATACAAGAAACGAGCTAAAATAAATTTAGAGAATTACCGCCTGATATCATTATTATTGCAAATATACAAGCTATTGACAAAAATTCTTACGAACAGACTGACTAATAAATTAGATAAATACTAGCCAGATGAACAAGAGGGTTTAGAAAACAATATAGCACGTGTGACCATCTTTTGACAATGAGGATCCTAGTGGAAAAAACGATTGAATATAATTTGGAGATCTGTTTGGCGCTCGTAGATTTTCAAAAGACCTTCGATAGCGTTGAACAGCTATAACAGCTAGGGCGATATTGGAATCGCTTGCAAATGCAAGAATAAACAGCAGGTATTGCAAGCAAGACAAGGAAGGGGTACACTATCTCCAAAATTATTAACCTGGACCCTAGAAGCTGGCAGGACAAGGATATCTGAATAAATGAGAAGGATTAAACCATCTCAGGTATGCGGACATGTTTTGACATCGGAAAACAAGACTACAACAATTCAACTCCAGATGAACATTTCAAAAACAAAGGTATTATGTAAAGAAGACCCTCAAATCAAAATTCGAGACCTAAAAATAGAGAACGTATCAAATTACTATATACAGGGTGTCCAAAAAAGGTACCACCAACACTAAACGAGGAAACTATACAGCAAAAATGAGTGTGACAAGTCCCTACAACACTTTTGCGAAAACTCAATAATAACGGAGCTACAGGGCGTTAAAGTTAGATTTTAAAAAAATACTGTTATGAAATAACTTTTCTGTTGGTTATCCGATTGTTTCCAAATTTGGCGCACTTATTACCTATAATCTAGTCTAGTTTTCACGGAATTGGTTGGATCGAGGAGAACACAAAACTTATTCAAAATAACGATTTTGAAGATCAAGAAATTAAAAGAAAGAAGAGCAAATAGAACTTTTGAAAAACAATTTAGCTTCTATAACGGAAATTATGGACCCATTTATTGAAAGCGACACAGAATTTGATAAAAATTCAAAGGCAAGATTAGGTCATGTCAATATTGAAATTATTATAAATTTGTTTGGGTTGAATATTATTAGCCATGTATTAATGGATCTTCGGTGAATAACAAAAACTAAACCCCAGTTTACACCCGTCCAGAACTGGCCTACTGTTTAGTCGAAAGGTCTTTCTTCAGGGCGGAGATATTGCACAGAAATCATCTGTGACAGCACAAAAGTGATTGCGAATCGAGAAAAACGATTTTTACCTATTTTGTTTCGCTTATTGGTTAAACAAAAAGCCAATTGATATTTTAAAGTAATATTTCTATTCAGACAATTAATTTTGTTTCGAGAAAAGCACATTTTTGGTGCACCTCGAAAGGTTAAGTGGTTAGTAAAAAAAACAGAATTTGCAGTAGATGGAAAGGGCGCATACACCGCGTTGTCAACAAATAGATCAGTGAAATAAAATTTTCATATTTTCAGGTTGATCTTTTCAAATCCTTATAGATATTTATTACATCTTTTACATATACAAATAGGAGACGCTCTTCTAAGTGATTAATTGTACCTCAAACAGCCCAACTACTCCCTATGCCGTAAGTCAGGCAAATGTTCTATGTTCGAGCATATGTAATAAGATATTTCGACAATAGAGTCGACCGCGAAATTGGGATACTTTTTAAAAAGTACCGCAATGGAAATATTAACAGTACCCGGTAAGACGTGGCTTCAACAAAATTTAATATAATGAATGAATAAAAATATAAGTTTCTGTATAAAATAATCGTCACGTTTAGAACCTAAAATAATAATAATATGAAAGTCCGCATATGATTTTGTTAAACCAACAAAAATAATAAATTTACTAAAAAGTTATAAATACTACAATCAAATCAATTTTTTAAATATTGTTATTAATTCCAGTTTTAAAAGATCTCACCTTTTAAATAACCAATCCGTCATAGCTTCTGAATCTTCAGGCACTTCGGTACTTCGGTAAACCCGATAAAAGAATATTGTTTCGCATGGTGCTCTGGTCCCAAATAATATATCAGTTATGTTTATCGGGACACCTTTGGGGTATGCTATTGTTATATCTAGAACATACTCGATATGTGCTCTTTGGAATTCTGAAAATATCAAAATATTAAGTATTATTATGTCAGATGAATATGAAATAATTAAAATTAAGCAAATGATTTATGTTTTTCTAACTAGGTATAATGGTTATACTAACCTGACTTACTACTAGAATTATTATTTACAGAAGACTGTGGTCCAACTGTATTCATAATTATCTTCATCGCCCCCAATCGGGGCAGGGAAACATTCTCGAACTTCGGCAAATTATTTTTATCTGCATATTTGTGTGATATCGCCTTACGATTGCGAAGAAAACCTCCTTCAGGGAAAAGAACGAGCCATTTTCGCTCAAGAATCACATATTTATCGACTAGATGATGAGACAGTTCTTGGAGCGCTTTATCTCTGTTTTCTTTACCCTGAAAAAATACGGTCACGTAACTTCAATTTTCAAAACATTTATATTCATTTTTCAACATTAGAAATATATATTTTAAAAAATATGAAAAATATGCCGTTAAATATTAACCGAATCTTAACAATAAAGTAGATGTAATTGCGTTTAAAACCAGAAAAGTTCAAGAAATGTTTGCAGTCCACAGAAGTTGAGATTATATTTTGTAATCAGAGAATCTCAGACTTTTGCTCAACTGCTGCTTAAAGATGTGACCAAAAAATTGCCATTAATATATCCAAAGATAAAAAATTTCACGTCATATTTTCTTGCTGTTGTTTGTAATTTTTGCTACATAAAAACATTGGAGCAAAATATAAAAAAAAATTAAAAGCTTGCCGAGCACTTGCTGTTAACAAATGACAAACAAATCACAATTTAGTACCTAAATTATTTAATATACACGACATCCACAATACAATGACACCACTATCTATTAAATAATCCATGGGTAATTTCAATAATTTTGCGTTACCTGGCAAGTCAGTAATAATTATGAACAGTTAAATAGATAGTAATTAGAGATAACATAGACCTTCAAATATCACTCACCTGATAAAAAATGAACAGTTACAAAACGCAAATATCAATATTGAATGTTATTTATGTTGACTTACTTATTTGTTTTAATCGGTGGAATTATGTAGCTTGAAGTATTCAGAATTGTCATTTATTTTTACACTAAAAATAAATGGATAAGTTATTATCCATGTTGTACTCAAACAAAACAAAACGTTGTTGTATACAAAACGGTTAGGCTAATTGAGGAAAATTACTCATGGAGCTAAATTAGAGCCAAAGGCAATAGAAACCATATATGAAGCCATTTAAAAGGCTAGCCCTTACAGCAATATAATATTTGAACAAACCGGGAATTAATTTATAGCATAGTAATAGACTTTCGAGCAAGAACATGTCCACACTATATATCTTATTAAATGATTTTAAATTACTTCACATTGCAGTTTTGCAGAAAAACAATATATCATATTATGGCGATTAGAGATTGGCATGCTCTAACGTGACGTAAATTAGATATCTATTGGAATAGCTCGAAAATTTTATCACTATTGAAAATATCGAGGTGCGCCAGCTTCAAAAGGTGTTTTGAATTTGAATTTAAAACACATTTTTCACCTTGATTAAAACCTGTCAAAAAGTAGTTAAAAATTGAAAAATGGTTAAAATAGCAATTGTATATGATAGTTTAAGGGTCCAAGAAGGCGTAAAAGCGCGGGCGCAAAAAAATATTCATAACTTTGAGCCTGATACAAAATTTAAAAACAGGATTTTTTTCAGGTAGGTTAAATAACAATTATGCAAAAACTGTCCGTCCGATCTTAATCGGCCTTGCGGCTCTCGTATTATATTGCTGTCAAGTACTTTTTTATAAATGTATGGCGTAATTGGGTTATTTTTTCATTGTTAAATAAATAATTTAAAATTTCCTTGATTTTTACCTACTTTTTTGCACTTTCAAGCATTTTAAAGCAAACATTTCAAATCTACAGATATCGGACCAACTTTATCTTTTAGAAAATTTTATAGTGAACAATTTTATTAGCATGCATTGTGTCGATAAAATGCATAGCTACCGAGTTATACGCGATTGTTTCGGGGCAAAAACGCAATGTTCTCTTTTTTTTTCACTTTTTCGGTGTTTATGCAAATAGCACAATTTTTCAAGCAGGCGCACCTCGATTTTTCAATAGGTATACCATTCCCGAGCGATTCCAATAATTATCTAAGTTACGTCACATTAGAATCATATTTGAAAGATTTCGTCGTAATTCGCCTCGCCTATATATCATAAATCATATTTCTTGTTCAAATGAAACAATAATTATCTAATATGTAATTATAAAAATTAACACTACACATTCCGCGGAATGAACCGGAGTTGAACCGGAGCTGGACCACATCCGCAAATACCAATAACGTATTTGTTATTGGTACCTCTCATGCAAAATAAGCATGCAAAATGGCACCATGCAAAATAAGTGATTTGATGACTAGAATGGGCTGCTAGGGTTACTAATGTTGACTGTTGTATGCAAATTGGTGTTGCATAGCAAAATACATTAAAACAATTTATCTGCACTAGGAGTTAAATTTAAGTGACACGTGAACCTAATAGAATTTTTAACAAAAAGTATTCCAAAATGAATGAGATTAGACAAGAAAAATCCTCTTATCAGTTTTGATGATAAAAATAATGCGATAAATTGATCTAGATATTCGTAGTTTTGACATAATATATTAAAACATATTCGTCACACCAAATAAAACTTTATATAAAAAGTTAACAGAACAAATCATAAAAACAATCAAATATATTATCACACCAAAATAATATACCCGTAATAGTATCGAACACAGCGAATAGGAAAATATATTAAATTTAAAATATGAAATATATATCATAAAAAATCTGAAATGAAACCGTTTATCAGAATATGAAGGCTTTCACGCATTTCCTTTCAAAGCCCGGAAAACATTCCTAAAGGTAATTAAACCGTTTAAACTTGAATATTAATAAAGACAACTTTTAACGACGGATGATTATGACAACATTTTTATCAGAACAGAAACTCCATTTTGCATTCAAAAAATAGTCCATTAGACAAAAAATTAAGCATAATTATAGAAAGGCTACTCTAGACTCTGGGAACAACCTGTTTCAAAACAACTTCGAGACCAATTATAGCCAGGGGGAGTGGCTTTTATCCTTAACAGTCAATTCAAACACCTTCACTATCACTAAATACCAAGCAATATCAAACAGGGTGAAATATCTGATAAGCCTAAACAAAAGATACACTATTCAATTGATACAATGCTTTGCACCTACAAGCACAGCAAGCAACGAATTAATAGAAGGACTATGAAGGCTTTCACTGCCGGTCAAATCACATTTAGAAATGTTTTCCGGGCTTTGAAGCCGTGGTCCATGGGAATTTCTTCCTGACGTTTCGTCCACAATTGCAGTGAACATTATCAAATGCGATGAGGCAGTGGGCGAAGTGATCTGCCGTGCTGAGTCTTACAGTCTTAGTCGGTAAGTTTGTATCAAAAAAGAGGATGGTTCAAATATAGAAAACTAAAGACCAATAAGCCTGCTATCACATCTATATAAACTCTTCACTAGAATTATCAACAATCGACTAACTACGAAACTAGACTCCTACCAACCGGCAGAGCATGCAGGCTTTCGAAAGGGTTTTAGCACTACAAACCATCTGCAAACAATTAAAACAATCATCAAGAAAACAACGGAATATAACATCCCCTACATCTGGCGTTTGTGGACTGCCAGAAAGCCTTTGACAGCGTTGAAATCTGGTCTATTCTAACAGCAACTCTACCCTTATTAAGAATATCTATGATGAGGCAACCTTTCCCGTAAAAATAGACGATCTTAAAACGACCGAAAAAGAGATGGATAGACGATGGCAGGAGGCCAATTAATGAGACTATAGGGAGATCGCGAGGCATGGGAAAACCTGAAAGAGGCTTATATCCGACAATGAATGAACACGAGCTGAAGAAGAATAGGAGACTAATAAAGGAGTAACTAAAATATTATTAGACATTATTAATCTAAAACTATACGTTTATGTAAATATCTACTAATTGAAATTATAAAACCTCACATTATCAGGAGAACTTTGCACAGAAGACAATTGAATGGTTTTTAAAATGCTTAGCCTGGAATACGCCAGAAATTGATTGGAACCTGTGAAGTATCGGTAAGATAAATAAAAGTAACAAATAATCAAAATCAACTCTTCGATTTGAGATACACCGTTGTTCAATTACATACTTAACACAACATATACTTACAAAAATGGAAAGTATCTCAAAAACAGTTGTACTGAACAATGTTAACTATCATGTTCCATTTACTTGTTGCTACCATAGTTTTGAATAAAGTGTTCCCTACATCTGACTTGTTTGTTACATATGTAAAACACATATAATTAAGTTACAAATTACTTCAAGAAAATTTTCGTTATTTTCTCACATACAGTAGTACAAGTACAATAACTAAAAACATTAAAAACCAAAGTTTGTGAACATCTCATTATCTCAAATTAATTTACAATACAGGGTGATTTACATAGACCGTGCAATAGAAGTTTTCCAACTAACAGTTGTTTTTGAAACTTTCCATATGCTACAAAATGAATACCCTATTGTCATATAGTTAGTTAGCCGGGGCTTTCAGCTAACTACTTTTTAAGCAACGCACATTTTAAAAATATTTTTGTAAGGTACAGGGTAGGGTGTAAAAAGCCCTAAAAGTATCAAAGCTTTATTTTTTTAAATGAAATACCCTACACAGAGTGGTCCTCAATTAATGTCCGAAAATTCACTGGCATATTGTTTAGGCAAAAATATTACGCTTCAGGCAAATTTGTCTTATCCGAAAGTTAATAGATTCCAAGAAACAGAGTGTTAAAGTGTAAATAAAAATTTCGTTTCTCTGAATATACTTTTAAACAGTTTTATTAGTACCCCAAAAATGTGTGTTTGGGTTTTTTTAGATCGGCAAATCCAAATTCCCTATTGTAGTTTCCAGAGGACGATAGCTGCAATAGTCTGAAGCCATTTAAAACATCAAAACTTTTTTGGGTTTTAATATATCGCTTTCTTGTTGACAATATCGGGTTCTTTAATATTTCCGAAACTAAAATCAGATCAGTCATGAAAATTCACTGAGTTACCCAGGCGTACAGCGAAGCAATGAGATCCAGGAGCGATGCGATGGGATGCCAGATGTTGTTAGATGGTCACGAGGAAGAGGAACAGAGTGGAGAGAGCATGTCGACAGGATGGGAAACGATAGACTTGTCAAGGCCGCATACAAGGAGAAACCGAACAAGACCAGATCCTTAGGAAGACCACCAACTCTTGGACATCATCGTCAGAGGACATCGAATAAAAAGATGGAAAAAACAGGACATAGTCCTATTAAAAGGAAACAGGCCGGAAACAACATTTGTAGTTTCTAAAACAACTGCAAGTTAGAAAACTACTAATGCACAGTCTACATAAATCACGCTGTATACGATCCAATTTTCTACTCACTTCAAAGTTGAGCATACGGAGCGACTATTTTTTTTCTTGAACGAAATTTAAAGTGTGCAAATTATAGATTTCCGATTTTTCATCCTTCATTAGAATTTAGCAATAATTAGTTAATTAACTGTAAATATCGATAGAACCACATTTCCTGAGGTTTGTATATCTTATTTGTGTATTATTTTTTTTTGATAAATGATGAAAACACCGCTAATATATCGAGTTAGCTCGCTATAGTCTTTCGCCGAACTTTTTATATGAAAATACACTGACGGAAAGTTACTCTGGTCATTGTTAATTGCTATTATTATAATTAACGTGTTGTGAATACAAGAGTAATTAAACAAATGAGATAAATTGACTGTGCACCCTGTGACCTTTTTTACTTCCATGAATTGATAAATTTTATATTTTTGAAGATAAGTTTAAAGGCATAAGTTTTTCAAGAAAATATAAAAGGAAATCTATATACAAGAAATGACCACCCTGTATAGAAAAAATGTGTAGGCACTAAATCGTCCTTCTCACGTCCAACTTGCAAGTAAAACGTGATTGGTTGTTCAATTATCGTTCCCCATAAGCACGACAACCGGAATTGTCTAATCTAGACTCAAATCGATTAGACTATTCGAATATTGAAATTAGAATTATCGCAGAATTATTTATATTATAGTGTGCTTTCAGGTAAAGTTTACTTTAGAATGAAAGTGCAACTTAAGTTAGTAATCGTTTAGGCAACTATGGGTGGGATTATCTCTTTAGTACATTTAACTATCAAAAATGACTTAAACAATGTGTATGAAAACGTAGATAAATTAAGCCAAGTAACTAGTTGTTAAAATTGCCTATTTCTCTAAACATAATCGCAAATATATCTAAAATCGATCAAATATTATGTCCATCAACAACCACTTAAGGTTATTATGCAATTAACAGAAATATTTAGCCAACACGTGCATCCTTCAGAATAAAATATTTGGGATTCAGTAAAATTTGACATTTTAGTTCCTTAAGCAAGCTTCGATATATACGACAATTTATGCAATTATGTTATTCCCAACGTATATGCAAAATAGTTAGTCGTAGACGTATTATTACGGTAGCCTTAATATGTAACATTAAGAATGTAACCAAAAAGATAGCTAATAAGTATGCAGCATAGATGAATGAATGACTCATATGGATCAGATGATGTGAAAACATAAGCATCAAAATAAATAGTGAATGTGCGACCTTGAATATTACAGCTCAAATATTTATTCCGACAATTATAATATTGTTAAAAGATTTTGTGAATGACAAATAGCAGTTTAGTCAAATTTAAATAAAGATAACTTTAAATTTGCATACATTAGACATATGACGCGAAGACTGCCAGGAAAAAATTGCGTAAATTAATTGTGCAAATGTTAACTTACCGATTTTATAAAAAAATCCTGATGCAAATAACTAACAACTCCAAAATTTGTATACTTAAATAAACTGTCCATGATCCACATAATATTAGGCAACACTTTTTGTCTGGTGTTGTAGCATGAGAATAACATTGGTACGTCAGCTGTGGATTGATGGTTAGCTATAATCAACGTTCTTTCTTCTAAACACTCGGATATATCATCACCAGTTTCCACAACTGAAAAAATTGAATGAAAAGTGATGTTATTTTTTTCATTACTTAAATAATATCAATATAATATACAGGATAATTCAAAATTGGCGTCATTCCTCTGGAGGTGTTGTCTGGCGCTGTTATAGGATTACAGAAAAAATAGTTAAAAAAATTAATTGTTATAAAAAACTGAGAAATTTGCAAAAACCGATATCAAAAAGACGGCAACAATGTTTTTCAAGGTAATCTGCCTAATTAACATTACGGAAATACCTGTTGCTTCGTAATTATTAAAATCTCCGGTAAACACATTACACAGAAAGTGACAATAAAATAGACAAGGATAAACGGTAAATTCAGCATAATTCGTTCACTGTGGAACGTACTTATTCGAAATGTCAATTATTGTCCTCATAACCTCGAATTTATGTTTACAAATAAACATACATTTGAGTCATTAACTCGAAACAATTGAGTGCCTGTGTAATTTTATTATCCACTCTTATCGAGCAGCTTCTCGTATTCGGTTAACTAACTCCTGCTCAATTTGTACCGGTGTTCAGTAATCCATTGGTTTAATGTGTGCTGTGTCTATCTTACATACGTGGTAGGCATGTAGCCTTTCCTCGGTATTTATTTGGTACTTGGGAAAGTGTCAATTGTGCTCTGATTACCCTTAGAAGGATCTGCTGCAATTATGTCCAATACTTGTTCCTCTGTGTCTAGAAGCCGATCATCTATTGTCGTCTACTATCTACCTGGAGACAATCTTCAGTATATCTCGCCCTTTGTTGGCGTGAGTTCTTACAGCTTCTGCTATCTTACTGTGGCATGTCCCGAGAACTAAACGCATATCCGCAAATTCGTGAAAGGAGCTTCAAAGTAACTCGCACTTTGACAAATTATTGTTATTATTGACAAAGGCTATCTACCTGTAACTATCTGTTAATGACAAAAAACATCATTGCCGCTTTGACTTGTTATCAAAAAATTGTAGAAGGGAACTTTTTTAACATAAAAAATGTTCGTAATTTGAAGCACAGATCGTAACATTTCTTTTAGAATACTTAATTATTCCAATATGCTACCAATCAAACATGCAACAATTTGAAAATAATGTTTACTTAATAAGAAAATCGAATATCGATTTTCAACTGTTAGTACCTTCTAGAAATCATCGAAAAAAAAAATTTCAATATTTTCCTCGTACTCCTATACCTACGTATAAGTGAGCCCCTATTATCCCTTAAAAGGAATGACGCCACTTTTGAATCACCCGGTATAGTTTATGGAAATATACCCAATGGAAATGTTTCCATTCACATGTTCATTCACTTTACTTACTTCTATATCCTGCTGACTCACACCATAAAGACACCATAGCCAAGAGCCAATGAAATAAGTATCCTTCAATTTTCCAATACAGTTCAGGACGCAATTTCTTCAAAGGCCATAACAACAGCACCCAAATCACGTAAGTTGGAATGCAATATAAGTTATTGATTAGAATAAAGGACATCCTCACGATGTTCCTTGGTATTTGGAAGAGATTACTACAAAAAAATTGAAATAATTAATACAAAAGAAATTAAACTAGTAAATTTTTGTTTTTTACATTGCAAACAATACTTTTAGTACTTGGAAGCATAAAAAGTAGGTAAGTATATCCAGTTCAAGTCAAACTCATATTCTTATACCTACTTAGTTCTTATTAAACACCCCTTTGTTTACAGTGAATATGTAGGTAAGTTTAATAGTGACTTAAATCGATTTCCCGATTGTATCCCAGAATGATGTTGACTCGCGTTATAAATATTAAATGAAAACGTTGCTGGGTAATGTAAACAAACCAATGAATTATTTTGAAAGTTCACTTAAGCTAAGATTAACTTTAAGAGTTGATGGCCAATTATTGGATTAAGTGTGTTTTGCATGGAATATTGACCAGGAGAAAGAAATTGGAGTGTTCTAGAAATTTCACGCCAAAATTCAAAATTACCCTTTCACATAATAAAAAGAAAAACAAATTAAAGAGTGAGAAACTTAGAGAACAGTAAAAGCCATTCATTATAACCCTACAATGGTAAACTTAGATACCTACTACCTAATTGCAGTCATAACATAACTTTGATAACTAGTAAGTAGTTACAGGACCTAAATTATAGTCTGTTACAAAACAAATATATCTGGTCCATCCAATACAAAATAGACTGATTGCAATATGTTTAAAGCAACACATAGCAAGCCACAAATAAGATATAAATACAAGTCATCATCATGCATCTATAATATAAATTGTATAATAATTAATGAAAGGGATTTTTCGCGTCTTAAGCGGACATGGACGGACTTCATGAAGGTCGCAGGTTCAAGTCCTGCCGAAAGCAGTGAATTTTTCTTATTCCAAAAATTATTTGTCCGCTTCAGCCGCGAAAAAATCAATTGACTACACTGACACTAAAACTGCAATTGTGTGTAACAATAATTAATATTAAAAATACCTAAATAAATTAAATAAAATTTTATGATACTTAAGTAAGTACATATTAGAAAAGCCATTCTAATATTCTGAAAGCCTAAAAGTAGGCTCACCAGTAAATTTACATGAGAGTATTGATTATTATTATTCAAGACATTCAAGTATGCATTTGCGCAACGAGTTATTCGCTAGATCTTTGCTCGGACCCTATTTTTCAGAATTACTTTTCAAACTTTGGAGCAAAACGAGATGACGTGATCCTATGATTAATGTAAATATAAATATTAAGTAGTATATTTTCTATAGTGCTTGAACTAAATTGCGAAATAAGTGTAATAACGACTTTTCTCAGTACTGATTAGAAAACATTGCAGTGTATGATGCATATTTCTAACTTACTGGTTACATATTTTTCTGAGAAAAAAGCAGGTATATGGGAATGCAGGATATCTCTTGGCCAAATAGATTAGGTACCCACTGTTATATATTTTTTATGTATTGTATGTATGAAAACCGCTTGGAGTCTTATTATAATAAAAGGTTTGAGAATTAACAACAATAGGTAGATGTTCTGTGATGAATACCATGATTACCGTAGCTATTTTAATTTTACAATTCAATTTAAAAGAGACGTATCCTGAGTTTTTGTGCAAGACATAGTTTTCGAATAAGTAATCAAAATAAATTCGATTTGATCCGTCTTTAGAGTTTATTCATATTTAGTTACCAAGTAAGTCTTAGAAAACTGAACACGTATATTAAAATCAGTTTGGGTAATCTTCCCAATCAGGTCTTGAATGGGCACGTTTTTGATAAAATCCTGTAGAACAAAAATTAAGCCGTTTCGGAATATGGTTCATTCAATAAATAAGAATATCTGAAATGCTTGGAAAGAATAAATTTGCTTATCAGGCTGAATGCATAGACTAGTTGTAACGATATGGTTGTTATATTTAAACTATACGAGTTTAATTAGACTAAATAAATAATTATCTGTTATTTTATGTATGAAACTAAGTAGATTTACCGCATTAAAGCCAAGCATTGTAGGTAGCTGTTAATTGTGATCAGTTTATTTATAAATAGCCTTGGGTCTAAACAAAGGTTATGTAAGTGAATGCAAAGCATACCTAATGGGGAGAATAGCAAATGAAGATAAGAGTAATTCTACAGGTGATCAAGAGTTGATGTTTTATTTATAGCTATGCCTGGAAGGAATTCCGATAATCAGATACAGTACTGGCATGTTTTTGAAAAGGAGGATTTTAATAATAGGTAAAACAGCGTTAACATCTACTTACTATCCCTCCATGTCTGTGCAGCTTTTTACAATTTATATCATCAGCACAAGTCACGTCACTTCAAAAAAGAACAAACAATCCCAAATTGTTTAATGTGCTTATTTCTTCCTCAGTAGTGATAAGTTGCACTTTGTTTACAACGAAAGAAACCACAAATAATCGATATTTCCACACTAAAACTAATCAATGCAATTGTTAATAATTTCATAGTCTCACTATCTAAACCACTATCAAGTCCCGAGGATACACAGTTTAGGGCGCCGGTTCAAGGGGAACACTAATTGAAAAGTATAAAAATATCAAGGGATTTTTCTTTTAAACATTGTAGAAGTGATGAAAATGCCGACTCAATTTACACTTGTCGAGACCGAAAAATTCTGCACGATCACAGTTAAATCAACATTTTCTGTTTTCTTGTTTGCGGACTGAAAGCAATTAATGAACTTATTGAGAGTTTCTTGTTATACGCTATACTCAAACAGTCTGTGACTCAAACCTCTATTCACCTCTATTGAGTCTAATTCATAGAACAAGGCTTATATAGAAACGACTCTTACTCTTGTAAAAAGTGTGTCGCTAAGGTGGCGCGCCCTGGTGGCTGAGAATTAAAGAATTCAAACAAACCTGCATTATGAACCCACTACACTTGCTTCACAGATTACAGAGTATAGATTGGACAGTTTTGCTTTCCCGACAAAATGATTTTACTAAATGCTACCACAGAGAGGCGTCGTCCAAAAATCCAGAGGATCAGCTGATTGTTTGCATGCGTTTGTTTTGTACATATGTCCGTAAGAGGACTCTAAACCTACAGTATTTTACAGTTAAGATTATTCCGTCAATTTTCAATCTTTCAGTCTGTCAATGTTTTTAATTTGCAATCATAAGCATTTCCAACTAGTTTGATAACTGTGATATTTATCTTTGTTTTACAATAATGGAGCATAACGTGGCTCGGAGAATGACTAAGTGTTGTGTTCGAAATTCTGTCATGTCTAGATAACTGTGAAGTTTATTTGAGTTTTACAACAACTGAATATAAGGTAGCCAGATACCAGCCGCTTCCAGTGTTGTGTTGTGTTCGTGAAAATCAAA